AGGCAGCCTGGCTCCAGAGCCACCCTTCTCATAATTAGCAATTCCTTGTTCTCTGAAAGTTCCTCCTTGTGCCCATCTCCCCTGGAGCAATCCTCTCAGCCAGGAGGATGTCTTCTCTCCTCCCTCACCCCTAAGGGGCCTAGTACAACCTTGGGCACAAAGCTGGCACCTGTAGAGGCTTGTTTTGGACCCTTTCTGGCCAGCAGCCTTGTCTCTGATCAGGGAACTGGGACAGTATGTGGTGTCTGTCTCCCTCTGCTGGTCCCTTAGGGGACAGCCCAGTGAGATGCTTTCACCAGAGTTGGTGGTGACCTTGTCTCCCCCAACGGTGGATGCTGGTGATGTGGGACAGAGAACCCAGGGTCTGGGGCCTGGCTCTATCCCACAGGAACAGCAACGCTGCCTCCTTGAGCCCCTACAGTAGAAGCCCGCCTCTAACAGGGGCACCAAGGGGTGGTCTGAGGGAGGTCAGGTTGCTTCCCTGATGTCTTCCCTGGGGGGAGGGGGAACAGCAGGCCTCAAACAGCCTCTTTCCCCATGGATCCCATGAATGAAACTGTCATCCATGGATTTATCTAAACCTTTTGTGAAGCTATTTATATTTCCAGCGGAGACCACATTTGGGGGTAATGAGTTCCATCGGTGTCCTCCCCTGCTGGGTGGAGCACGCTGCCTTTGATTTGTCCTAAACCTACCTCACTTGAGCTCCAAGGGGGCCTGTAACTCCAGCATGCCTGAGCTTTCCCCTTCCCATCCCTGCTGTGGGTTTTAAACATCCCACCCCATCTCCCTTCCACCTCCAGCCCTGCAAACTGAAAAGACCTGGTCCCTGGTTGGTGCAAAGTGGGCAGCATGGGCATATCATTATCTCATGCCGGCCTCCAGCATGCAAAAGGGTAAGCATTCCCACTGCCCTCACAAGACCAAGGACACCCAGGGTGCAGAATTGTGGGGCCAGCATGAGACTCAGCTAGCAGCAGCAGCAGACCCCTCTGGAGCTCCCTCCCCTTGGGCTGACTATTTTGCCCCTACTCAACTGTCCTCTAGAGATTTTCCAGTTTCTGGACTCCAGGCCTTTCCTATGTAATATTTCATTGGGGAGACTCTCTTCCGTGGTCCCTGTGTGCGCTCGCCCTGGCTTCATCCAAGTTGATGATCTGGGGAATTTTTCTGTGCTTTTTTTGTGGTATGGTATTGAACCTAGCAGTGCTCTACTACTGGGAACAAGCGCACAAACACCAGTCCCTGTGTGCACGCAGACCAGGTCAAGACAACCTGGTGAACCCCACACCCCAAGCCCCTGTGCCCTTTTGAGGCTTAGTTACCTCCACCTGGCAAACCTCCCGCCAGGAGTAATCCCACCTGCTCTCAGGCTACAGAGTAGGGCTGCAAGAAGCTACATCCCCACTCCTTTTTTTAAAAAAAATATATTTAGTTGTAGATGCACACAATACCTTTATTTTATATATTTATTTTTATTAGTGCTGAGAATCGAACCCAGTGCCTCACACATGCTAAGCAAGTGCTCTGCCACTGAGCCCCAGCCCCAGCCCCAAAGTCCTTTTTATTTTATTTTTGAGATAAGGTCTTGCTGAGTTATGCAGGCTGGCCTTGAACTTGTGATCCTCCTGGCTAAGCCTCCTGAGTCTCTGGGATCATAGGCTTGGCCACCACACTCACCTGTGTCCTTTTCTGGTGTGTGGCTACTGTGAGGATCAGTGCAGATGAAGGTGACAAAAGCCATTTTAACAGCAGAGTAGAAGAGCTTTGACACTCTGTGAATCTTAATAGCAACCATTTGAGGTAGGGACCATTATTGCCCCCAATTTACAGATTAGGAAACTGAGACTTGGAGAAGATCAGCAATTTGCCCATTTTCACACAACTTGTAAATGATGGGGCCAGGATTCATACCTCAGTAGGCTGGCACCTGGAACTTCATTCTATACCTCAACAGGCAATCCTGGATCCCAGTCTTGTATCGGCCATCATCCTATACTCCAGTCACTCAACGCAGATGTAGTAAACCATTACTATGAGCCAAACACTGTTCTGATTCTGGGAGAAATGCCAGGGAACAAGAAAGGCCCAGGCAGGGCTTGGCAGGAGGGGCTGGCAGCACCTGCTGTGCCACACATGCGTCCCAGCAGTGCTCCACCAGCCTGGTGTGCTCCAGCAGCTCAGAGGTGCCCTGCCTGCGTGGTTGCTCCAGAGCAAGCGCACAAACACCAGTCCCCGTGTGCACGCAGACCAGGTCAAGACAACCTGGTGAACCCCACACCCCAAGCCCCTGTGCCCTTTTGCTGCTTAGTTACCTCCACCTGGCAAACCTCCCTCCAGGAGTAATCCCACCTGCTCTCGGGCTCAAGTAGGGCTGCAAGGACATCCCAGGGTGGGACAGAGCAGGTGCCTGGCACCTCATCCTCACCAACCACTCCTCAGTGAATGTGCTCTTCCGGTCAACTTGTTCTCTAAGCTTCACCTCCCTCAAACTGTCCTTGCCCCAGGAAGCTCCTATCCAGATCTGCCCACTGCCATGCTTGACTTTGGTGATTCTGTGACTCATGTTGGTTTCTCCTAGGAGGCTGTAGCTCCCACTCTCCCCAGCTCGGGAGCCTCCTCTCTGCCAAGGTCAGCTACTGCCCAGGCAAACTCCTGCTCAGAGCCTTGGCCTTGGCCATTCCCTCCACTTGCTTTGCTTGAGGTCTTGGTGCAAATATCAACTTCACCAAAGGCCAAACCAGCCATGCTATTTAGAGTAGTACTCACCCAACACCCCTCTCTCCCTCTCCAGGGTTCCTTTCTCCCCATGGCACCCACTGACTTCTGTGCACTGTGTGGCTGAATTGTTCCTCTTGCTGACTGTCCCCACAGGGTGAGAGCCCCCCCAAGAGCAGGAGCTCTGTCCTGCAGTCTTCCCTGTACTTAGAAAAGTGTATCTGAAGTATGTTGAACAAGTAGATTTGAAGCACCAAGGGAGGTCCCAGGCTCTGGGCTTCCTGCAACCTCTCACCTAACTAACTGGGTGAGAAGTGGTGACAGAGGGAAGAAATTTCCTACGAGATAATTATGTGGAACGGGGGTAAACTGAGGATTGAACTCAGGGGCACTCAACCACTGAGCCACATTAGTGGTTTTAGAGGACTACTCTAAAATAAAATTTTGTATTTTATTTAGAGACAGGGTCTCATTGAGTTGCTTAGTGCCTCAATATTGCTGAGACTGGCTTTGAACTTTCAATCTTCCTTCCTCTGCCTCCCAAGCCAACTAGGATTACAGGTAGCGCCACCGCACCCAGCCACATGATTATTTTAAAGGTGTGAAATGGTGACTGCCTTCTTCTACTTCACATCTGCCACCTGAAGACACACACACACCTTCACTGACTTACCTGCTCATAGGAGGCCACTTAATGTGGGGTATGAACAAGACCATTAAGGTTTGGTGTTTGAAAGAATCCTAACAGAGCAACTCATCCAACTGCCTCGTTTTCTTAAGAAACAGGCCTAGGGCTGGGGCTGTAGCTCAGTGGTAGAGCGCTTGCCTAGCATGCGTGAGACACTGGGTTCGATCCTCAGCACCACATAAAAATAAACAAATAAAATAAAGGCATTCGTTTATCTACAACTACAAAAAAACTTTTTTTTCTTTTTTTAAAAAGAGGCCTAGAGAGGGGCCCCGACTCCCACATATAAGTAAGGTTATGAGGCTTACAGCGCAGACCGTGGTCCTCTTTGGGTTCCAATACCCATCTCTCATCCCACAAAAGAAGTTCCACTTGGCTGCTGGCTCCTCTCTTCTGGGGCCTGAAGCCTGTGATTGGATGTGTCACCTGCAAGCCCTGCAGAGACTCCCATCTAAACTCACAGCCCAGGAGCTGGGGAGAGGGGGAAGCAGGACATCAGTTATAGGCTCTCTCCAGTGCCCGGGAGATGAGGGCGCCGGAACCTCCAGAGGGCCCCTTCAGGGTCACAGCAAGACAAGTTGGAAAGGGTCCTCAGGGAGTATCATATGCTCCCTCCACCCTCCCCCAGCACAGTATAGAGATGAGGAAACAGCCCAAGCCTGGAAGGGGCTTCCATGGTCCCAGAACATGCCAGTGTGGAATCTAAGACAGGAAACCCAGGTATCCTGGCTCCCAGCGCTAGGCTCCTTTTTGGTTTCCAAGTCCTATGGAAACCCCAGATGATTTCTGACTTTTGTTGAGGGGGTGGGAGAGTGATCAAAGACAGACTCCTTAGCAAAGTCCCTGTCTTCCTTCCCCTTGGGCCAAAGACCTCAGGGGACAAGATACTACAGCACCATCCGTATCCGGGACAGACATGGGATCGTTGATTACTCAACAGCCTTCCTCTCTTGCCTGCAGAGGACTCTTCATCCACCTGCTGCTCCAGTCGGCTGCTCAGTGGGGCTGGAGGAGAAGCTGGGAAGGCCAGGCTATCCCAGGGCAAGGTATCCAGAAAGGAGGAACAGTGAGGTAGCAAATGGCTACAGCTGCATTTTCTATGCAGACTGTAGGGACAGCTATGGTACAGGGAAGGTTGGCACCTGGGCAGAGGGCTGGAGGCTGGATTTGTTTCTTTCCTTACTATGCCGCGTCTGAGTGAATGGCAGCTCAGCCTTTTTTTTTTTTTCTTTTTTTTTGGTACCGGGGATTGAACTCAGGGGCACTCTACCACTGAGCCACATTCCCAGTCCTTTTTTTGTATTTTATTTAGAGACAGGGTCTCACTGAGTTGTTTAGCACCTTGCCATTGCTGAGGCTGTCTTTGAACTTGCCATCCTCCTATCTCAGCCTTCCAAGCCACTGGAATTATAGGTGTGTGCTACCATGCCGGGCTGCGGCTCAGCTTTAATGGTTCCTAACACCTATCTACTTATCATTCAGGAAGGGCCAGGCCCCGAGTGACACCACTAGGATACAGCAATGTGCAAAGCAGAAGTAGCCCACCCCCAACCCCACTGAGGCTGAAACACCAATCAGGAAGATAGACATTAAGTAAATAAACATATGAAATAATGTTGCAATGATAAGCATCATGGCCCCAACTGGGCTGGTCTCTTAGCTAGAGAGGACAACGGGAGCGGGCAATGAAGGCCTGTAGGTGCTGCTGCAGCTGAGCCCGAGGAAAAGAAGTCAGCTTGTGAGAAGGCAGAAGGCCACAGTGGAGAGAACAGGAGGTGCCAAGATCCCCAGGTCCAGGAGGAGTGGTGGAAGTGGTCCAGAGAACTGGCAAGGCACACAGATGATCAAAGGGAGGAGACAGGTGGAGAAATGGGTGGGACCTGGGATCCTGCAGGTTCAGGGTCAAGAGTCTGGATTTTATGGCAACCACTGGAACATGAAGACAAGGTAGAGGCCCTTCTGCTGCATGGAGGGTGAAGTAGCTGGGATAGGGTGGAGGCTGAAGGCCACTGAGTGCTGTTGTAGTCATCCAGGTGACAGACGGGTGGCTTAAAGAGGAGGGCCATGTTGCCATCTGGAGAGTATAGCAATCAGGATCTACTGAAGGATTGCACCAAGGAAAAGAGGAGGTTGGGGTCAGTCGGCTGAGCTAAGGGCTGGGAGGGAGAACATTGGAGGGGAAAGGGAAAGCAACGTCCTCCAGTAGGGATTTGAGGGTAAGGCAATAAGGATGAAAGTGAGCCTGGAGAGCAAGAGGCTAGGGGACACACGCAGCCTCCCCACCACCCAAAGAACCAGAAGGGCAAGGCCGGCCCTACAGGAACAAAGGACGCTCGCCCGAAGCCCTTCAGAGAGCCATCAAAAGTGGTGCTGCGGGAAACTCGGGGTCAGCGAGCCGCTCCAGGACCTCCCTTCCACACTCTTGGGCACAGAAGTCCAGAGCAAGCGGGAGACTTTGCAGCCGATGAACACACGCTCCTTCGAACACTCTAGGGTCTTTGCAAAACGTGCATAACCACGATTCCTTTTCATCCATTTCAGGGCTTCCCGGTCGTGCCCCTCCTCACCTCTGGCAGCCCCAAGCCCTCTGCAAAGCTCACAGAGCGGGTTCGCTCTCCCGCGCACTGCCGAGCCTCTGCGTTAGCTCCTCCCTCTGCCAGGTACACTCTTTCCGGTATTTCTCTGTATATCAAAGAAGAGAATCGATGAAGGATCCTTGATGCCAGAATGAACACCCCCTTTCCACTCCTGGTTCCTGCAGTAAGTTACTTTAACCTCTTTTTGGAGCTGATGGCTGCTGCTTGTGTCCGAGTCCCTGACCCCGCTTGGATGCGGACAGTCTTGCCACGACCTGTCTGCCCGGACAGACGCCCAGGAAATCTGTACTACGTGACCCGGGCGGCCCCTCCAACTCCGGACTCCGAGTCCAGCGCTGCGTCCTCAGCACAGGCACCCCGCGCCCTAGATCTGCGTCCTTGCTCTCGGCGTTCCGCCGTGCAGCCCACCCTGCTGCTCACCGCGCGCCCAGGCTAGCAGCCCTGCTCTCCAGGGGTGCAGAGGGCGGGACCGGGTCGGGGAAGGGAAACGCCACCCGCAACGTGGATGCCACGCCCAGGGTCACGTCACGGGGCCCACCCCAAGGAAGCCAGCTCCGTCACGTGACTGAAGAACCTGCGAACGTTTTTCTCACGTGACCGAGGCGCCTTGTGTGGACCAATAAGGAGGCGGGGGCGGGCCGGCTGGGGGCGGCGCGCGGGAAGGGAACCTGGGACTCTGGCTGTGGCCGCTGGAACCCGGTCCGGGAATACGCCGCGGGCGGGTCCCCAGTCTCAGCTGAGTAGCAGGCTAGGCCCGGGTTTGTTCCTGGGGACAGCATGAAGTGCCTGGTCACGGGTGGAAACGTAAAGGGTGAGTTCTGGATGCCTGGCTGCGGGGCACGTGAGCCGGCCCGAGGCGCCCGCCTAACCCCCCCTCTGCTCTCCTCCCCGCAGTGCTGGGCAAGGCCGTCCACTCCCTGTCCCGTATCGGGGACGAGCTGTACCTGGAACCTTTGGAGGACGGGGTGAGGGGCTGGAGCGTGCGGGGGCGGTTCCAGCCGGGTCTCAGTGCTCCCGGGGCCAAGGGTGGTGACCATGAGCAGATTTGCCTGCGGAGTTTGTTCCCCCGGTGCTGGTCTGTCAGCTTGCACCCAGTCGCCTTTCCAGGCCTGCGTGTACACTCTGTGTACTTGCCCTCCCTGGAGTGCTCAGTGGTAGGGTAGGGGTGACAGATAACTAGGGGGCAGGACCGAGGGCCTGGGCTGTGGGAGGGGAGCTGAGTGCCTTGACGACTCCCAGGGGAAGGCAGATTAGGTTCTGACAGATGACAGTGGAGGGGGAGGACCAGAGGGTTGGGCCTGTTGCTGCTTCTGACCATGTCCTGTCCCCTTCCCTGCTTCGGGTCCAGCTCTCCCTCCGGACTGTGAACTCCTCCCGCTCTGCCTATGCGTGTTTCCTGTTTGCCCCCCTCTTCTTCCAGCAATACCAGGCAGCCACCCCTGGTCAGGACCTGCTGCGCTGTAAGATCCTGATGAAGGTGAGGCCTTTCTCAACAGGGGTGCCCTTTCTCCACCTGGGCATCTCCACTAGCTGTGTCTGCTCTGGGGCACTCTAGAGTTGGAAAATACATGCAAAATACAGTGGGTGTTCACAGAGGGTAATGGGAGCATGGAGAAGGCAGTTGATGATAGAGACCTGGAGAGGGTGGTGACATTCAAGTGGGTCAAGAAAAGTAAGCAGGTTTTTTAAGCTTTATCAGGCAGAGGGAACAGTGGACAAGGCCTGGAAGTGTACATATGTCCCCTATGTCATGGGAGCCCCTTTCCCAGTGTTTTTTGCATGGCCAGTGGTGGGCCAGGACCTGTATGGATGGGAGAGGTGATGGACAGAGGTGCAGTGCCAGGCTGATGTGTCCATTTCCTGCTCAGTCCTTCCTGTCCGTCTTCCGCTCTCTGGCCATGCTGGAGAAGACTGTGGAAAAATGCTGCATCTCTCTGAATGACAGGAGCAGCCGCCTGGTGGTCCAGCTGCACTGCAAGTATGGTGAGCAGGCACCTGGCCAGTTAAGAAATGCCCTTGGGGGTTGGGGGGAAGGTTGGCAAGGCCTGTTGAAACCCTGTCTGCCCATCCAGGGGTGAGGAAGACTCACAACCTGTCCTTCCAGGACTGCGAGTCCCTGCAGGCTGTCTTCGACCCATCCTTGTGCCCCCATGTGCTCCGCGCCCCAGCACGGTGAGCACACCCCTGCCACAAGCTCAGCCCTGGGTCTTTCTTCCTTCTTTGTGACTTTACAGGTCAGTTTAAGAAGGCACCTCTTTCATTTTCCCTCCAGGGTTTCTGTGACCCTCAAAGACTCTTCAGCCCAGTGTGAAGGGCTCTTTACCCTGGTTGGGGCCCCTCCCTGACTCTTTAAAAGCAGAGGGCAGTGTGGAGGGTGCCGGGCAAATGCTCCCTTGCCGCATTGTCCTCACGGTCTCTAGGAGCTGTCTTCTCCACCCCAGAGGTCTGGCTTGGCTTTCTGCTGCTCACACCCTTCTCACTTCTGTCCTAAAGAGGTCATCTGGCTGCCGGCAGGTCTCTTGTTTGACTTAAGTCACCTTGCAGGTCTGTCTTTAACCTTGTGCCTCAAAAGTTCAAAGCCCTTCTTTGGTCTGGTCGTCCTGAGGGTATCCCCATTTAAGGGCAGTCTCTCTTCCTAACTGCCCAGGCTCTGGCCTTGGGCGGTCCCCAAGGCAGGAAGTGGAACAGGGAAGTTGGGGTCCAGGAGGGCTACCAAATAGTCCGCCATGAGGGTACAGTCATTCTGGGCAGTCAAAGCCCAGAGGGCCATGTGGGCCAGAGGAGGAGTCAGCTTTCATTGCTCCATGCTGGACGCTGTTCACATTCAAGTTGCCCAAGGTCCCATTTATTTCTCTTGGAGACTGAAGGTCCTTTCAGGTCCTAATGTGTGCTTCTCCAGGTTACGTTGAGGCAGCAGTGATCAGGACTCCTTTGTATGGAGAATGAGAATGCTGTCCCCTTGGTCTGCATTGGGTGTCTCTTCTTTTGCTATCCATTCTATATTTATTCATTTCCTTATTTATTTTTATAGCACTAGGGATTGAAACCAGGGGTGCTCTACCATTGAGCTAAATATCCAGCCTTGCCTTTTTTTTTTTAAGTTTTTATTTTGGGACAGGGTCTTGCTAATTTGCCCAGGCTAGCCTCCAACTTGCAGTCCTCCTGCCTCAGCCTCCTGAGTCATTTGGATTATAGGCCTGTACCACTGTGCCAGCTCTCTCCCTTTTTAAATATGGGCAATTGTTTATCTCTCTCTCTTTTTTTTTTTTTTACAGTTTCGAATACATACAGAAGTATAGGCCAGTTCCTGTCCCTTGTTGTTTTAAGGCAAATTCCGTATTATTTTATGTGTAAATACTTAATAGTGGTATCTCTGGGAGACAAGCACATAAGTGCTCTGAGGGCCAGGTTCTAAGACTGGCATGAACATGGTGGCCTAGCCCTGCATGATCACATGTGCCTGCCCAGACTTCCCACTGCCTTCTCTCCCGTACCTGGGAAACTTTTGACCAGGCAGGGGTCACATTCTGCTTATCCTGTCCTGTCCTTCCCAGGAATGCTAGGCCTGCACACTGAATACATGTCTTTATGTCATTGCCCACACAGGATCCTGGGGGAGGCCATTCTGCCCTTTCCCCCCACATTGGCTGAAGTGACATTGGGCATTGGCCGTGGCCGCCGGGTCATTCTTCGAAGCTACCTGGAGGAGGAGGCAGGTGAGGGAGCCAGCATGCCCTGGTGGGGAGCTGGAGCTGGGCCCAGAGACCCAGGGCCTCAAGTTCTTCCTTGTGCCTGTCCAGCAGACAGCACCGTCAAAGCCATGGTGACTGAGATGAGCATTGGGGAGGAGGATTTCCAGCAGTTGCAGGCCCCAGAAGGAGTGGCCATCACTTTCTGCCTCAAGGAATTCCGCGTGAGCTTCCCACCACACCCACTGCCCCTGTCCTCCTGCCCTGCCCAGGCCCTCACTGCCTGCTTCTTTCCTCCCAGGGCCTCCTGAGCTTTGCAGAATCAGCACATTTGCCTCTTAGCATTCACTTTGATGCTCCAGGCAGGTAATTCTCAGCTTGAGGACAGGAGGGGGAAGGGCTGTGTCCTGCCAGGAGGGGAATGGAATGACCTAGTTTAGAGACCCTGTCCCTTGCCTAGGCCAGCCATCTTCACCATTGAGGACTCTTTGCTGGATGGACACTTTGTCTTGGCCACACTCTCAGAGCCGAACCTACACTCCCAGGACTTGGGCTCCCCAGAGCTCCACAGGCCAGTGCCTCAGTTGCAGGCTTCCAGGTGAGGGCACCCCTCCACCCATTCTTCCCCTCCGTGTCTTTGTGCACCCCAGCATGAACTTTGGTTTTTTTTTGTTGCTTCCAGCTTATGCACCTCCCCCCAACACACACACACAAACTTCCTGTCAGGCCCCAGCCCTGCAGGCTCAGCCTTCATGGTCAGCTGTACTCAGAGACCCCTCCCACCCAGGGAGGCATCCCCAAGGTCCAGCTGACTTCCTTCTCTGGCTGAGGCTTTCCCTCTGAGCCTCCTCCCAGGCCAAGGAGGAAAAGGGCTGCTGGGAGGCAGGGAGCTTCCTGGGGTAGGGGAAGCAGGTGGCTAGAAGGGCAGGTGGGTTGGGGAGGATGGGCCCAGGCAGAGGAAGTTTGGCCTGGCCCCCCGCCCAGCACATCCCTGGGCTCTGGTGCTCTCCAGCTCTGTCCCCCTGGGAAGGTGGGGGCTTGGGCCCCATGTGGCCTCATGCTCAGGACTTGCTGCTCCCTTCCCCCAGCTGAGCTAAACTAGCCCCCGGATGCCTCCCTCAGGCTCCTACTAGAACTTGGATCAAAGGGATTCCAGGCCCACCCCCTCCAGGAAGCCCCCACTTAACCCCTGCATCCTCTCTCTCCAGCCAATCAGGAAGTAATAAAACCAAGATCTCACCAGCAGTTTTGAGGCCCCAGAGCCTTCTCTGAGCCCTCCAGCGTGGGGCCTTCCTATGCCCCCTTTTCTCTCCCTGCTTCTGATACCCCATTTTTGCCTACAGCACATCCCACCTGGATGACTTTGCCAGTGATGACATTGACTCTTACATGATCGCTATGGAAACCACTGTAGGCAGTGAGGGCCCACGGGCACTGCCCTCCATTTCCCTTTCCCCCGGCCCCGCCTCAGAGGAGGAAGATGAAGCTGAGCCCAGTACAGTGCCTGGGACTCCCCCACCCAAGAAGGTAGGGCTGGGGGTAGGGGCTGGGAGGTGAGGAAGGAGCCGCCTGGAGACCTCATTGGCTTTCTCCTCTTTCCAGTTCCGCTCGCTGTTCTTTGGCTCCATCCTGGCCCCAGTCCACTCTCCCCAGGGCCCCAACCCTGTGCTGGCTGAAGACAGTGATGGTGAAGGCTGAACTGAGAACCCCAAGCATGTGTCCAAAGGCTGTGGACTAAAAGCCTCAGCCAGCGGCAGGGCTGGACCTCGGTCCAGGGGAGAGTAGAGAATCTGACA